AATCTGATGAAGTTTGGGAGGATAGATAAAAGAAAGGGAGATCTGTTGGATAAGATTGAAAGCCTTGACTCTAAAGAAGAAAGGGGAGAACTTGGAGAGGAAGACAATGAGCTCAGGAGAGATTTAAGAAGACAGTTAGAGAACTGCCTACACAAGGAGGAAGTTAGCTGGAGGCAAAAATCTCGGTGTAAATGGGTGCAAGAGGGGGACAGAAACACTAGGTTTTTCCACTCTCTAGCAGATGGCAGGAGAAGGAAGAACCTGATCTCCAAACTGGTAGTAGATGGAGTTGAGCTAGTACATCAAGAGGAGATTGCTGGGGCTTGTGTGGAGCACTTCAAATCTATTCTAAGAAGGCCTGTGTGTACACGGGTGTGGGTAGAAGGATTGGATTGGCCAGATGTAGGGGTGGAGGACAAGAGAAGGTTGGAGAGAAGCTTTAGTTTAGAAGAGATCAAGGAGGCTGTATTCTCTATGGATAGAACAAAAGCCCCAGGGCCGGATGGGTTCACAATGGCTTTTTATCAGGACTGTTGGGATATTTTGAAAGATGATCTTTTGCGGGTGTTTGAGGAGTTTTTCAGGAGAGGAGTTATCAATCCGGGTGTGAACTCTACATTTATAGCCTTAATTCCAAAAAAGAAAGATGCTTCCCACCCGAAGGATTCTCGGCCAATTAGCTTGGTTAATAGCTTGTATAAGATCATTGCAAGAGTGTTGTCTTTGAAGCTGAAGAAGGTTTTGCCAGATATCATTGCACACTACAAAGGAGCTTTTGTGAATGGAAGACAAATTACTGATCARATTTTAATTGCTAATGAGAGTGTGGAGAACTTAAAGAGGGATAAGAAGAAGGGAGTGGTCTGTAAGTTGGACTTGGAAAAGGCTTATGACTTGGTGGACTGGGAATTTTTGAGGAAAGTTTTGACTAAATTTGGGTTCGGGGATAGGTGGTGTAGGTGGATTATGGGTTGTGTTCGGAATTGTCATTATTCAGTGCTAGTGAATGGGACAGTAGTAGATTTCTTTCCAACCAGTAGGGTTATAAGACAAGGAGACCCCCTTTCTCCTTTCTTGTTCATTCTAATTGCGGAGGTTTTGGGGAAACTGATTCACAGAGTAGATTCTAGGGGGCTTATTAGAGGTTGGAGATTTGGGAGGGTGGAAACCCCCCTTACTTGCAGTTTGCTGACGACACGATTCTGTTTTGTGAAGGCAGTAATGTGAGCTTTATCAGGAATTTAAAGTCGGTGATACAACTGTTTGAGCAAATATCCAACTTGAAGGTTAACCTTGGGAAAAGCTGTGTTGTGGGGGTGAATTTGGAGGAGGGAGAGATCAGGGAGAGTGCTGAAGTGCTGGGGTGTGAAGTCTCAGGGTGGCCTTTGAACTACTTAGGGTTGCCTTTAGGTGATAATCCTATGAGAGGGAGCTTTTGGAACCCTGTGGTGGAAAGGTTTGAAAAAAGACTGGTGTCTTGGAAAAAGAACTACATCTCTCTTGGTGGGAGAATTACTCTTATTAAGGCCACACTTGCTAATTTACCTATCTTTTTCCTGTCGGTGTTTAAAATCCCAGTGAAGGTTGCTAATAGATCAGAGAAGTTAATGAGAGATTTCCTGTGGGAACCGGGAGAGGAAAAGAGGGATCATAG